ACGATCAGCACTCTGCTGCTGCTTTGAACCACATTTGTAGTCGTGACAAATCATTGCCCTCCAGTGACATTGATTGAGTTCCATTCTTACAGTCCGAGCCTAGTGACAATCGTATGATTTTTGAACTGTGTTTGGCTGTTGATATTTGATTACATGAGTTGCAATCACTCAACAATATTCATATTGCGAGATTACAGTTCACGTTTTCCTTGTCCGATTATCTGCACCTCGTACTCGTCGTGCACTGTGTATCCGGACACGTTTTGCCCAATTTTCGTATTCCTTTCATTTATTGTTCCCCTAGCTCATGACAGTTTCAATCACTGATCAACCTTTCCACCTGCCAGACCTCTTTCTAACGCCTATCAAAGGGGATTCTTTATTGAGCTACTAGGTGATTACTAGCAATCCCACTGGTGACCACTGTCTCCTATGTCTTGGTCGAAAATGTTTATTCTCTTGGTTGGCATTGAGACAAAACAAGCGAACAGAAAATCTTTCAGCCGAAAGACTCCTTTTTTAAGTCACCTTTTGGCACTGGTTTTCTGTTCAACAATCTCTCTGTTTTGATGAACATTCTCCAGAAACAGCTAATATGATTCTCAGCTTGCGCTGTCTCCTGGAAACAACTTTTTGTTAACGCGAGGTAGAGTATGCTCCACGCTGTGAAAAGTGTTAAGAAGACAAAAGTCACAACGGTTCAGGAAGCAGCAACCACTGTCAAACAGTTTCGCCTGCAAATCCTGACCGAGATCAAGAGACTGAGTGCTTTGTTCATAAAACGAGGTCTGGGAACCGGAAGGGGTGGGGGAGCTGGTAGCGGCAAGCGATCCGATTGATGTGCAAAAATGACAAACGGTCAAAGAATAAAATTATACTGACTTCGACAGTCTTAATACTGCATTCATTTATCCTTCAAACGATCTTCTGTCTCCATACCCTACAGATCATCTATCCACCTTAGACCCTGACGCCCATGATGAGGTCTATCATCTTGAAATAACCAAACTCACAAGTATAGTAGTTGACTCACATTGTCTATGCTCGTCAATACACAAACTCAGTGCTGGTTCACTCACAGAAGTTGTTGTATCCCTCACTAATCATAGATTTTAACACAAATGTGTATTCCCTCATTCTTGGAGACTTTTCCTTGGTGTTTCCCTTCGTCAATCATTTTTAATTAGAATTCTATCCAAACACACTTCGTCCCATTGTCATCACTCTCGTTGGGCCAAAACAAATCACACCGTGTTATTCTGATCCGTTTTCCGTCCACCATCTACGATCCCTTGAACCTTTTCAGTTTGCCTATAAACCAAATAAATGTACTATGGACGCTGATGCAATTTTCTATGAATCCCTAAAAGATCACCAAAGGTCTGTTCGGCATTTTTTCATTGATTATTCTTCCGCTTTGCATTCCGCGTTCCGTGATCTCATCCTCTAGGAAAGTTTAAATTAGTTGGTTGTTTCATCATGTGATTGACGTGGTTGAAATTTCACAGGAAGGATTCAAAGAACGAAAGCAAACAGCATTATTTGAAAACCTTTAGTGAACAACTTGGAAGTCCCTCAGCGTGTTGTGCTTTCTCCATACTTATTTTCAACATCCGGCCAACCAAGACTTTTAGATTTCGCTGATGCTCTGTTCTTGCATGAAACTGTTTCAAGCCAATCTGATGTGGAATTATTTTCTGACAGTTTAATGCAATTATTCTCGAACCAATTTGGTCTCCAGTTGAACGCTTCTGAATGCTTCAAATGCGTTTTTAGTCTTCTCCGATCCTACTTTCCCTTGGAACCCTCAGTCATTAGTTCCGTACCCATTACCAGAACACAAAAAGACAAATACCTAGGAGTCACCATACAGAGAGCAACCTACGATGGTCCTCCCACTGGCGAGGCTGTTTTTAGACTGAGTGGCTCATCTGCTCAGGTAGGCAAGTTGCGACAATTTAGAGGCACACGTTCAACTATACGTTGCTTTGTTCACCACTGGGTTTTCCTCGTCATACATTTTTTCGTTTGCCCGTTATATTCCCTGAACCGCTTACATAGGATTTCATTACTCTTCGCTGCGGTTTGATATTTCTCATACCCATGAACGGTATAGTTACAAAATTGTTTAATTTTCATAATTTCCCTCTGGAACTGTTTGCCCATCAAACTCCTAACTACCCCATTCACATTCGTAAGCACTTCTAGCCACCGTTAGCACGCCACAACCGGATCCGTATTTTCCTCGCGTATCCTGCAGTGTAAACATCTATATATCCCAGTTCAACAGTGCCCTCCCTATTTGACTTGTTTCTAAACTGATATGAAGAATGCCCCAAAAGAATGATTTTCCTCGATAACCTCATGAGAAAAAAATAGGATATAGTTTCTAACAGCTTTCATTTTCACATTCTCAGCTGACAGGGTGATTAAGTGAAATGTGAACACGTGGAAGTGCAAGGTGGAGGAAAAATTGATATGAATATCTTTACGTTGATGGTTGAAGTTGAGATCCCAGATTAACTAAACGCTACTTTGTCCACACAGAAGGATCCCATGTTTAGCCTTGTTTGCGGTTGATGTTTGAGAATTGAAATACACACACACACGAACTGCATTTAGGGCCAACTTGGTCACACCAGATCAGTGAACCAATCGTGTTTGCTTGCGCAGAAACGGTTATTCCAAACACTTCATCTGTGAATGTGAATAG